TTTATCTATCATCATTGTTAATGTTATTGTCGTTTTATTATTATCATGTTTGTTATTATCAACATTACTATTATCATCATTACTGCTATTGATATCATTAATATTATCATTATGTTTACGGTTACTGCAATTATCAGCTTCATTATTAATAAATTAATTATCCTTATTAGTAGTAGTTATGATAATCATTACTAACATTATTATTACTTTTCATTATCATCTTTATCATTATAATCATTGTTGTTATCATTATTATTGTTATTACCAATATCTGTATTATTATATTTGCTATCATTATCATTACCATTATTATCATCATCGTTATTTTTCATCAATGCTACAGATTTTATTATCATTGGCATCATAATCATTACTGATGTCAATATTGCCATTAACAATATTCTTACTATGTTTGTGCTCTCAGTAATATTACCATTACAAACGTCATTTGCAGGGATCCCGTTAATAACATGATTATCATTAGCAATTTCAAGAGAATCGCACAAATAGCACCAGATATCAATATTGCCGTTGCTAACATCTTCAGTCCATTTCTTTAATTATTCACCGCTTGAAAATAATCTTTCGAAAGCTATTTATCTTCAGTTTTTTTACTATTTTTCGTTTTTCTTCCTCTGTCTCTCCTCAGTAAGTGAACTGGAAACACATGGCGAATTTTAGCTAATATTCGCATCGCTTGGGATTAGGTGCAATCTCTCCCCGTCGCGATGCCAGGTCAGGTGAGGTCGTAATTGGATCAGAGCGAGGCTCATGATTGACCGCGGATGGCAGCCACGGGCGGGGTCAAAGGTCAAAGAGACTTCCGATTCAGCTGGGAAAAAATGCAACAGAAAATAAAAATAAATTGATATACTTATGATTGTAAAAAAAAAAAAAAAAAAAAAAAAAAAAACAAGTTATATGATCTAGTCACTTTTATCTTGTTACATGCATATGAAGTAAACAAAAAAACGTTAGTCTATATAATGCCTTCATAGCGATGCTTGAAGCGACTAAATTGGCTTAGGGGTAAAGAGATGATCTCCATGCGCGCCCAAGCCTCGCCCCTGCATGGCCAAAACCCTCCCCCCCCCCCATTTCCTTACTTCTCTCCACGGCTCAGGTGGACCTCAGAACCGGAAGAAACAATGAAGTTAAAAAGCTAAATAACCGAGTGAAAAGGACATTTCCGACAGCAGTTAATAATTCAACCCTGGGTTCCGGTGGAGGAAATGCCGTTGATTTTTGCCCTCGTTTTTTGTAATTGTTTGCGTTTCCTTTTGTAAATAGACGAATGCGAGGAAGAAAGAACGAAAGAAAAGAAAATCGAAAAAAATTACGAAGAACAAAGAAAAAAAAAAGAAGGAATATCCATAGTGAAGTTTAGCTCGCATATCACTGCGCTTTATATCATTCACTTGGGAATTTCTAAACTCGGCAAGTGTGGGAGATTGTGTATATATATCACGCGATTATCGGCTCATCATAACTCACCCGCACGACACCATTCCCGACACAACACTGGCGAGTCGGCGCTTGGATAAACAGGCCGGTGTTAATCCATGAAAAGCAGGCGAGGGCAAAAGTCTCATTGGCCGAGTAATGGTGATAACTCAGACCCATATTTTCCCTCCGAGAACTCCGACAGGCCTGTAACTTCTCGGGTGGGAAAAAAGTTCAAATAAAGTGCGAGGTTTGGGATTTCAAATTTCGCGGTGACTGAGGAGAGTTCGGCTCAGTTCTGAAAAGTGAATACATGAATCTCGGCCAGCCTTCAAGCCAAGAGGGAGGGCGGCCGTGGCATAAACCTGGGGCGGGCGGAGGGAGTGCCGACTCCTGCCTCGTATTTCCAGGCTTAGATTTCTTTTCTCCCCCTCCCCTCCCCTCCTACTTTCCCTCCTCTCCCACTCCTTACCCTCCCGACCTTTCCCTGTCCCCCAATCCCTCCCTTCCCCTCTCCCTCTCTCCCTCTCCCCCTCCCGCTCTTTTAATTTCCTTGGCACTTATTTCTATCTATCGTATTTCTTCTTGAAATTCGAAAGCTTGGAAAGGCAGAGATAAAACCTAGATTTTTTTTGCTTATAGATAACTATATGAATAATAGTATCATTGTTATCATCCTCATTATCATATCAATATAATTACATCATCCTTTTACTGCTGATGGTGTTTTGTTATTATTACAGCTATAATCATTGGTAATACTGTTCTTATTATTGTTTTTATCATCATAATTGTCATCATAATTATTATTATTACTATTTTTATATGATAATGATGATTATAATAATAATAACAACAACAATAATAATAATGATGATGATGATGATGATGATGATGATGATGATGATGATGATGATGATGATGATGATGATGATGATGATGATGATGATGATAATAATAATAATAATAATAATGATTATTATTATTATTATTATCAATACTATCATTATTATCATGATTAATATTAGCATTGTTGTAATTAATGTTTTTACTATTG